AGCTGTATTGTCACCTTCAACTTGTTGTTTAAACCACTGCAAAAAGTTCTTGTTATGTTCAGTGATCACCCACTTTTTAGGCATACGTGGATTATTTCGCTTCACAATGTCTTTATGAGCACTTAAGTAGGGGATGACTTCTTCACTGTTATTCAATATGTACAAATGCGCTTGAAGTACTTCATCTTGACACATTGTCACAACTTTTGCACCTCGAGTTCCTCTACCAAGACCTATTCCATGGTAACGAGTCTTAGGTAACCCTATAGCTTCAACTTCTGATAAGTATTGTGTGCAAAACTCAATAGCTTCCTCTGTAATATATCTTTGAACAATTGATGCTTCAGGACGATATTGGTTCTTCACATACCCTTTTAATATCTTCATGTATCGCTCAATAAGGTACATCCATCGTAAGAAAACTGGACCACAGATTCTAACTTCCCTGGCTAGATGAACAATCAAGTGAACCATAATATCAAAAAATGATGGAGGAAAGTACATCTCAAATTGACACAATATGACTGCAGCCTCATTCTCTAACTGATCCAAAACATCTGGGTCCATAACTTTACTACATATGGCATTAAAAAAAAGCATAATCGAGTTAAGGAATATCTAACATTCTCTGGTAAGATACCTCGAATAGCCACAGGTAGAAGTTGTTGCATCAATACATGACAATCATGAGATTTTAACCCAAGCAATTTTAGATCTTTCATAGATACAAGTCTCTTCACATTGGAAGAGTAACCAAATGGAACATTCACACCTCGTAAAAACTCACAAAAACTTCTTTTCTCTTTTTTAGACAGTGTGTGACATGCTGGAGGCAAGTATGTTCGGTTACCATGAGGTTGAGGAGCTAATTGTTCTCTTATACCCATTTCAACCATGTCCAAACGAGCATTGACACCATCTTTTGTTTTTCCTTGAATGTTAAGGAGCGTTCCGATGATACTATCACACACATTTTTCTCTACATGCATGACATCTATACAATGCCTCACATCAAGAACCCTCCAATATGGAAGAACAAAAAGGATTGACATTTTCTTCCATATACCTGTGGCTTTCTTTTGCATCTTTCCAAACTCACACGAAATCGCACTTACTCGTTGATATACTTGTTCCCCACTTAAAGGTGTTGGGGCTGCATCATTTTCTTGACACCCGTTAAATGATTTTTTTAATTTACGATATGAATGGTTTGAAGGAAGAAATCTTCTGTGTCCAAGGTACACTCGTTTTCCTTCCATGTTGTAGTTGATAGTGACATGTCTCTTCTTCACATATCGGGCAAGCTTTATGTCCCTTTGTGCTGTAGCCACTCAAATTACCATATGCTGGAAAGTCATTAATTGTACAAAATAACATTGCACGCAACTTGAATAAGTCACCTGTGTACCCATCAAACACATCAACACCTTCATCCCACAACATCTTCAACTCTTCAACCAATGGGCTTAAAAAAACATCAATGTCATTTCCAGGTTGTCTCGGGACCCGAGATCATCAAAGATAGCATCAAGTACTTACGTTTCATACACAACCACGGAGGTAAGTTGTAAATAACTAACACCACAGGCCATGAACTATGTTTACTCGCTTAAATTTCCATATGGATTCATTCCATCTCGTAGCAAGTCCAAACCTAATGTTTCTTGGATCATTACCAAAATTCTGGAAGATGGAATCAATTTTTTTCCATTGCAATCCATCTGCCGAATGCCTCAACCGACCATCTTTAATACGACTATCTCGCATGCCATCTAGTGAGCTTTGCATCATTTCCATTAGTGAATAATCGTTTCAACCTTGGAACAATGGGAAGATACCATAACACTTTTGTCGGGTACCCTTCATTACATCATTGTCGAATCACCATCCTTCTTCTTGTATCGTGATTCCCCGCATTGTGGACATTCGTGACAGCTTCTCAAATTCTTTCCTGTACAACACACAATCATTCGGACATGCATGAATTTTGTGGTACTCCATACCCATTGGACACAATATCTTCTTAGCATCATAATTGCGGGTTGGCAATGTGTTACCTTCAGTGGAGCATGTCACTCAACAACTCAAGCAATTCTCGTGAAACTTTTATCGAGTCCACCCATTCTTTGCCTTCACATTGAACAATTTTAGTACCGCGACAATCGTGTGAACTTAGTACAATTTGTATACAAAGACTCTTTTGTATCATTGGACAACTTCTCGTACACATGTGTATGTTGGAAGGCATCTTGTCCAAGCTCACGAATCATTTCCTCCAGCTGATCATCCATCTCTAGATCAACTTCTTCTTTGTCTTCTACACTTGGCATGTTTAATAATTCACCATGTCATGTCCACTTTATGTAACTCTTTAGGAAATCATCACAAAGAACATGTTCCCGAATAACTTCAGTCGGTAATCTTCGCTCATTCAAGCAGTTAACACAAGGGCAATAAAATCTTCCATCATTATCCGGAACATTCATCTTAGCAAATTCAAGGAATTGTTCTACTCCACTCTCATATTCATTTGTTGTTCGTCTATAATTGATCCAACTCCGATCCATTGTTACAGATCTAATTTTCAAAATCAAATTAGCTACAGAAACACGAAATAACTACATTATAATGCCTACACGAAATCCAACTCCACTCTCAAAATAACTACATTATAATACAAATCTAATTTTCTAAATCAAAATAACGAAAGAATGCCTACAGAAACACATTCAAATGACTAAACTACTTACAATACATCTCTAAGCTAAAGGCACCCGTGATGTTTCCCTCTCTTGACAGCATTATTACTTACCAGATTCAATACTGTAAACTTACAATGGCTAAAGCAAACACGAAAACTTACCTCTTGAAGACCTACAGAGGTGGCAGGTGGCGTGACGTGCAGAGCCGGGTGGGGAGAAACGTATCACAGGCGACGGGCACCAACGACAGTAGCAGCAGGCGGCACGACGTACAGCGTTGGCAGGTGGCGTGACGAGCAAATGTGGGTGCGGAGAAACGTACACAGGCAAATGGGGAGCTCTGCTATGGGTGAACTGATGAAATGAAATGGAGCGTAGGGAGAAACGTACACAGACGAACGGTTGCTATGGGTGAAGTGGTAAAACAGAAGATACTATGTCGGTTCCCTAACACCCGTCATCAAAGACACTTTCTATGTCGGGTAAATTTTAACCGACATAGAAAGTGAACTTTCCACTTACTATGTCGGTTAAAATTTACCCGACATAGAAAGTTTATGATTTTATTACAAAATTGTCACCGCGCTACATACTATGACGGGTGGATTACGACTGTGATAAAAACTCGTCATAGAATGTTATTTTTCCACTAGTGAATATTTATTTTGAAAATAAATGTTAAAAGTAGATAAAAAAAAATCGTTTTAATGTGATATGGTGCTACGAGGAGTCATATTCATAACTTTTCTTTGGTTTGTGATATTTTGTTAATAAGTTATCTTTAAAATTCCCAATGGAAGATTATGATTTATATAAAAAGATATTGTAGTTTAAAAAGTTAAAAAAATAATAAAAACACATACTTAATATTTGTTTCCTCTTATAAATGTTATCTATTAATAAAACTTAGAAATTATATATTATAATAAAACTTATATATTTTCTTTAATTTTTTATACTACTTATTTTTTGTTAATATTGTCTAAATAAAACTTCGTTGAGACAATAATTATGAACTATACCAAATATAAAAAAAAATATTGTTTATAAATTAAAAAAAATATTTATAAATATATATTATTTTTCAAGAGCACATGTATCTTGCATAGCACGAATCAGATACTAGTAATTATAAATATTGAAGCACGAAATATGAACCTTTAGCTCATTTTTTTTTACACATCGTTTTAAATAATGTTTCCATTATTTTATTATTTTTAGTTTCTCAAATGAATAAGAAGTAACCAGTTACATTCCCTGAAATAAATATTAGTTAATCAACTGACTGAAGTAAAAAGTTATATCATTCATAATTTATTATTTATCAAATTTATTTCTTAATTTGTTAATAATTTGTGCACAGATATATTGTCCTTAAAATTAGCGGTTAAGAAATATATATATATATATATATATATATATATATATATATATAAACTATATTGATCTTAATCCTTAAATAAAGTAAAACTTATTAATATACTAGGTTTATCCTAATAGATATAAAGTGTGAACACTTTAGTTAAAGATAACATTGACTTCCATTGCGTGAAACTAAGAGTAGCTTTTCGCTCCACTTCCACTCCTTAGTCCTCCACTAAGGGTTATGTTCTAGTGTACTTATGAGTCTTATAGAGTGATGATATTTTGACAACGAGAAATCATACAACCCTTCAAATAACTCATTTTTATTAATATAATAATCTATAAAATGATTTAATAAAAATAAAAATAAAGTAAAAATATTATTATAATATTAAAATAGAGTTGTTTATAGAAGTTGTATGTATTTGGGTTGTCAAAGTATCATTTTTCAATCTTATATTAATTAGAAATCAAGGTCAAAAGTAGTTTATATATATATACTCATATCTTAATTTATTGATATGTTTAGTATAAAATCATGATGGACAAAACTCCAAAACAAACAATATTTGGAACATATAAATTAACCTAATGATACTATTTCAGCGAACATGAAGTTCATGTTGACCTTTAGAAGTTTTGTTAAATAACTTCTTACGCAAATACTAAAACATCTACATATTTATAGTTATGTAATTATTTATAAGATTCATCTTAGTCAAAAAATTTTACAGTATGAATTTTCCCTAAAAAAATTAGGTACACCAGCACAACGTGGGTTTATAGTTAAACTAGGAAAAAAAATAGTAGTACAAAAGAAAGTGTGACATAAATTTGCATTGAACAAGGACCAAATATTGGTGAGAACTATAATAACTCTGCACCTCTTTGAACTACACACTGCAGTGTAACAAGACACTCTGAATTACATCAATGGCTAGATTCGGAATCACAACAGGTATATAGTATAATGTAGTCCACCTATATTTTTCATGTTTTGGTTTTATTTCTCTTGTGGTTGTAGTTTTAGTTGTAGATGTGTGCATGGTGTTTTACTTTTGTTCTTTTTTCAAGACAATGCAATTTTTGACAAATGAGATGGTGCTCCTATGCAGAACAAGTGTTCTTCAAGTTTTCAAACTTCGAATGAAAAGATTATGAACTCTAATTGTTTCCCTTTTGTTTGCAGATAACTTCTCCTACATTTGCCGTGGAGATTTCAGTTTGACTTCCTTTTCCAGCCAAAGGTGCATGATAGACATTGTCAACATGTTTTTCCTGGGTGTCTTTTATGTCTCATTGCTCTCCAATTTGATCAAGAAAAGACCAGCAAATGCAAGTTGTAGCTGCAGAAAGGGATTGGTTCGTGTAGTTACTTCGATCTGTTGTACTCTTGTAACCATTGCATATTTTATTGATGGTTTGTGGAATTTCATTGCTAAAACCATAGGCTTCAATCAGCTGAACTTGTTGGTTTGCATTGTGAGAGGACTAGTTTGGATATCTTTAGCAGCTTCATTGTTTGTTCAAAGATTCCAATGGATAAAAAAGATATGCTCTATTTGGTGGGTGTTTTCATGTACATTGGTTTCATCACTCAATGTTGAAATTCTGCTTAAAGAGCATAGATTTCAATTTTTTGACATGGCCATATGGCCAGTGCACATCCTAACTGTTTTCTGTGCCTTCCAAAACCATGGCTACTTTGTCCCACAAGAAACCCCAGATGCCAGTTTATGTGAGCCTCTATTAGTTCATAAGGGAAAGGATAAAACAGGACTAGGCCATGCCTCCTTTCTCAGTAGATCCACTTTCTCTTGGATGAATGCTTTGCTCAGTTTGGGTTACTCAAAGCCACTAACACTTGAAGACATCCCTTATCTTTCTTCTGAAGATAAAGCTGATTTTGCATACCAAAAGTTTTCACATGCATGGGTTTCCCTTTTGAGGGAGAGGGGCAGGAACAATTCTACAAACTTGGTCCTATGGTCCATAGCCCGAGTTTACTTGAAAGAAAACATCTTCATAGCCATTTGCGCATTTCTAAGGACAATTTGTGCTGTTTTTTCTCCTTTACTTGTTTATGCTTTTGTAAACTATTACAGTTTCACTGACAAAGAGTTAAAACAAGGGATGGCCATAGTGGGGTGTCTTATATTTGCGAAGGTGGTTGAGTCTGTGTCTCAAAGGCATTGGTCTTTTAACTCAAGGAGGTTAGGAATGAAAATGAGATCTGCTTTAATGGCTGCAGTGTATCAAAAGAAATTAAAACTTTCAGCTTTGGGTAGGAAAAGACATTCAACTGGTGAGATTGTGAATTACATTGCAGTTGACGCATATCGAATGGGGGATTTTCCATGGTGGTTTCATACGTTGTTGTTTTCTGCATTGCAAGTTTTTCTGGCTCTTGGTGTCCTTTTTGGTGTTGTGGGTTTAGGTGCACTTCCTGGTTTAGTGACACTTCTCATATGTGGATTTCTCAATGTACCATTTGCAAAGATCCTTCAAAAGTATAGGTCAGACTGTATGATTGCGCAAGATGAGCGTCTGAGGTCAACTTCTGAGATTCTTAATAGTATGAAAATCATAAAGCTACAGTCCTGGGAGGATAACTTCAAGAAGTTAGTTGAATCCCTTCGCGCTAAAGAGTTTAAATGTTTGGCTGAAGTACAGTTCATGAGAGCTTGTGGAACATTTATATATTGGATGTCCCCTACCATCATTTCTTCAGTTATTTTAATGGGATGTGCGCTTTTCCAGAGTGCCCCTTTGAATGCTGGAACTATCTTCACAGTTCTTGCAGCAATGCGAAGCATGGGAGAACCTGTCATATTTATTCCAGAAGCACTTTCTATTCTGATCCAAGCTAAGGTCTCCTTTGATCGTCTCAACACTTTTTTGCTTGATGATGAGATAAAAGGCGATGATGTTGGAAGAACTTCAAAAGATTCTTGCAGCAAGGGTGTTGAAATTGTAGCAGGCAACTTCAATTGGGATCAGCGATCAGTGCCTCCAACTTTGAGAGAAGTGAATTTTGAGATCAAGTGGGGCCAGACAGTAGCAGTTTGTGGCCCAGTTGGAGCTGGAAAAACATCTCTTCTGTATGCAATACTCGGAGAGATACCTAAAATTTCAGGAACTGTGAGTTATTATTGACCAAGTAAATTTAGTATATTATGACGTCAAACATGAAGCAACTTTGTGACATGAATAACTTTTAAATTCGTTGTTTTTTTCTGCTCTTTTGAAAATGGAAAACAGATTGGTGTAGGTGGGACACTAGCCTACGTTTCCCAAATTCCTTGGATCCAAAGTGGTACAATTCGTGACAATATTCTATATGGAAAACCAATGGATGAAACCAGGTATGAATATACCATTAAGGTATGTGCCTTGGATAAGGATATCGTTGGCTTTAGCCACGGTGATCTTACAGAAATAGGTCAGAGAGGGATAAACATGAGTGGTGGACAAAAGCAAAGGATTCAACTAGCTCGTGCAGTCTATAATGATGCAGATATATATCTCCTAGATGACCCTTTTAGTGCAGTAGATGCTCATACTGCATCTGTTCTGTTTAATGTAACTTGAACCACTTTTTTATTCTTTAAGAAAATTACATAAGTGGCTATATATTCTGGAAACTATTCTGATTTATGTCATGTAATTACAGGATTGTGTCAGGACTGCTTTAAGAAGGAAAACAGTTATTCTTGTGACTCATCAAGTTGAATTTCTCGCAGAAGTTGATAAAATCCTGGTATTGTGCCTCATTCATATTTTGAATTTCCATTGGATCTTAAGTTGTTGGTAAGAAATTTGTAACTGCAATTTTAGGTAATGGAAAGAGGAAAAATTAGTCAATCGGGTAGCTATGAAGATCTGTTGACTGCTGGAACAGCCTTTGAACAGCTTTTGAGTGCTCATAGAGAGGCAATTACAGGGATAGAAAAAATTAGTGCGAACAGAAAAGAAGATGAGAATGTGATTACAGTTCAGCCTGAAGATTCTCATGTTTCTAATCTCACTAAATGTGGAAGTGATGGGGACATTTTTAACAAGATTCAACTTACACAAGATGAAGAAAAGGAGAGTGGTGATGTTGGGTGGAAGCCATTCTGTGACTATATTTTATTCCCTAAGGGGTCTTTGCTTCTATGTTTGAGCATATTAGCACAGTTGGTTTTTGTAGGTTTGCAGGCTGCATCAACTTATTGGCTTGCTATAGCCAATGAGATGTCAAGAGTAACTAGCAGCATCTTGATTGGAGTCTATAGTGTGACTTCTTTTTTAAGCATTTTTTTTGTGTATCTGAGATCTTACTTTGCTGCACATCTTGGTTTAAAAGCTTCTAAAGCTTTTTTCTCTGCCTTCACTGATTCTATCTTTAATGCTCCTATGTTGTTCTTTGATTCAACCCCAGTAGGGAGGATTTTGACCAGAGTAAGGTTCCTTTATTTCTTACAATATTGGAAGACTGATCTCTATTCTTGTGACTATTTTTTGACCCAATACTAGTCTCACTTGCAGGCTTCATCAGATTTAAGTATTTTAGATTTTGATACCCCATTTACCACCATCTTTGTGATAGCTGAAGTAACTGAACTTCTGACAATGATTGTGATAATGGTTTCGGTCACATGGCAAGTGTTCATTGTTGCAGTTCCTGCCATGGTGGCTTCAAAATATATTCAGGTATTTATTTTCCTGGCCATGCTATGGGGGAACAAAGTAATGGTTGTTTTGATATTTACCTTCGTTTTTTTTTTCTGGAATTAAGGGCTATTATCAAGCTTCTGCAAGAGAAATTATGCGAATCAATGGAACTACAAAAGCTCCACTTATGAATTTTACGGCTGAGACATCTCTTGGTGTGGTCACTATAAGAGCTTTCAACATGGCTGACAGATTTTTCAAAAACTACCTTAATCTTGTTGATACTGATGCCACAATGTTCTTTCATTCCAATGCTGCCATCGAATGGCTAATTATAAGGATTGAGGTACTTCAGAATTTGACACTCTTCACTGCAGCTTTGTTGCTTGTGCTTCTTCCAAAGGGATATGTGGACCCTGGTATTGTTATTTGTCACTCAACCTAATTAGCGTATATTACACAATCATGTTATGTTCACATATCTGAGTGTCTTCATGCTGATCATCTGGTTACAGGCCTTGTGGGACTTTCTCTATCTTATGCTTTTTCAATGACAGCAACCGTAGTTTATCTGACTCGAATGTTTTGCAACTTAGCAAACTATGTAATCTCTGTTGAAAGAATCAAGCAATTCATTCACATACCAGCAGAGCCTAGTGCTATTGTAGAGGACAATAGACCACCACCTTCTTGGCCTTCTAAAGGTCGAATAGATCTCCAATCTCTAGAGGTGACACAAACTAACCAAATATTCACTTAAATATGATTGCCCCTTTTTTCCAACTTAATTTATCCATATTCATGACAAATAAATTCAAGTCTGATTTTCTATAAATGATTTCAGATCAGATATCGTCCAAATTCTCCATTAGTCCTGAAGGGCATCTCTTGTACGTTTAAAGAAGGGAGTAAAGTTGGAGTTGTAGGAAGAACAGGAAGTGGAAAAACTACACTTATAAGTGCTTTGTTTCGCTTAGTTGAGCCTACTAGAGGTGACATTCTTATAGATGGAATTAATATATGCTCAATTGGGCTTAAAGATTTAAGAATAAAGCTAAGCATCATTCCTCAAGAACCAACCCTTTTCAAGGGTAGCATTAGAAATAACTTGGACCCTCTAGGCCTGTACTCTGATGATAAAATATGGAAGGTAAATAAACTGTCTCAACTATTGAAAAAACATGCAATAAGTTACATTGTTTTTCTCTATTGCTATTCACTAAGTAAGCAAAGGTTTTGTTGGCTTTGATTTATGCAGGCTTTAGAGAAATGTCAGCTCAAGGCAACAATTAGTAGTCTACCAAATCTCTTGGACACTTCAGGTGAGTTAAATCTATGAACTTGATGTTTACAAATGAAATAGAAATGACAACCACTAAACTTCATCAGTTTTTCTATGGCCAAATACATGAACCAATCTATAAATGTAGTTAGTTCTATCAAATTACTGGCACAAAGTGTATTGTTGATCCACACCATTATTAGCACAGCTGAAACAGTCTTATTCTGACCAATTTAACAGTGAGTGATGAAGGAGAAAACTGGAGTGTGGGGCAGCGCCAACTCATATGTCTAGGAAGAGTGCTGCTTAAGAGGAACAGAATTCTTGTTCTGGATGAAGCTACTGCTTCCATTGATTCTGCCACAGATGTTATTCTACAACGAACCATCAGACAAGAATTTTCAGAGTGCACAGTCATAACTGTGGCTCACAGAGTTCCAACTGTAATGGACAGTGACATGGTCATGGTTCTATCTTATGGTATGTTATTGTTATTGGGGGGTTACAAATTAAGTATTGTTACTTCTTTAGTTACAACTTTTTCCTCATGTTTATACCTGGTACTAGGGAAACTGGTGGAGTATGACAAGCCTTCAAAGCTTATGGATACTAGCTCTTCATTCTCTAAGCTGGTAGCTGAATATTGGTCCAACTGCAACAGGAATTTGTCCCCAAAAGATTAGCTTGAATCAATGAGACTTAGTATGCTAAGTTGGATAATTTTCATTACAAGCAAAATAAATTGGATATGTATGTCCCACATTGCTCCTTTTTTACATTTTCAGTAATAAAATAATGCATTGTATGCTCTAATTTTGGTGAATTTTCCATTTATGTGGTTAAAAGCTATAGAAACTTATAAAATGACATAATCAAAATCTAACAGAACAAAATATCATAATTCCATATACAACACTAAAAATGTAATTAGTATTATTAATCTTTTTTATTTCATAAAGTTAAGAAGTATATTTTCTAAATTACCTTCATCCATATTTATTGGGATGATGATCATTTTTTAATAAATATAATGGTATTTTTGAAATAATCATATTATATAGAGTAGAGTTAGTTAAAGTTTACTGATATTTAAATCTATTAGATATTACTATTTTTTTCATATTTAACTTAAGAATGTATATTTTTTTATTGGTACTAATTTTTAATTTAAAAACTGTATGATTTAAGTATACACTCAACTTTTGTGAAGTGTAAAATATATTTTTATGAAAAGAAATGCTTTTACTTTCAATGAGAAGTGTCTTTATGATTTAGTTATTTTCTAATCATAGTATTGATACAAAATAATAAAGATTAATAATCTTATCAATAATTTTATTTAACATTCTTAATTAATCAAATAAAATTACGTATTTTTAATAGAATTAAATTTTATTTTAGCCTATTGTAATTTAAATGAAAGCAAATGAATTATTTATTTAAAATAAATTATTTCCTTGATATAATTATATTTTTAAAAATTCTCTAACACGATTATAAAAATATTTTTTAAAATAAATTAAATTCAATATTACTATAATTTCATTTTATTATCTTCAATTATTTCAAGTTAAAACAAAGAAAATAATTAATTTCAAGACATATTAAATTCTTTCTTCCTACACCCCCCATTTTTTCTCTGTGCACCTCCATACCCCCAAGTCAAATATCTAAGAATATTAGGAGTTGCTTATTAAAATGCCCGAATAAAATATTAATTGTTTGAAGTAATTTTTCATTGAAAGAATCATATGTGACATGATAAGTGCTTAAATTTTTGTTATAGTTGTTTCATCAAGTAACTTATAAAAATAAGCAAATCAAATTAAATAAGGAGAGAGAATGATTTTTTTAAATTTATTAAGAAAACTTCTAATGTAATAAAATCAACATTAACTTGCTTAAAAATGATGTAATATCATAATTTTTTTTTCATTTTTCAAAGTAATAAGCAATTCATATGAGTTATTCCTATTGGAGATACCCTAAAATATCATTTCCATAATTTTGTTTTTTATCCTAACTTCTTCTATTTGTGTACAATTTCTACACTTTCATCCTTTGGCTATTTAATTTCTTTGTGTTGTTATCACCTTTATTGAAGGTCTTTTCTAACAATTAAAGGTAAGTAATCGTTAATATTATGTATAAACTACATGTTCCTGCACTCAAATTGCACAAACAAACTCAAATTACTCAATCTGAAACATTGTCGTGAAAATCAAATTAAATTCCGTAAATACATTCCTAATTGAGTGTTCTGAAATGTGTTTTCGAAATGCATTATGGATTGAGTGTTCTAGAATGCATTCATGGAAAAACATTTCGAAAATATATTTTGAATTGAGTGTTCCGGAATGTATTTCCAGAAAAGTCTTTTCGTAAATACATTTTGGATTGGGTGTTCCAAAATACATTTCCATAAAATTCTTTCCAGAAACGCAATCTAAATGGGTGTTCCAGAATGGTTTATGCAAAAGTCTTGGTGGAAATGCATTTCAAAATGGATGTTCTAGAATGTATATCTGGAAAAGTATTTTCGAAAACATATTTCGAATTGAATGTTATATAATGTGTTTCCAGACAAATCTTTTCAAAAATGTATTACGAATTGGATGTTCCGGAATTTGTTTCTGGAAAAACCTTAAATGAAGATAAATGTAAGAATAAAATAAAGTTTAATATAATTATGGGGATGCATGAAGAAATTATGGGATATTATGGGATATCAAGAACAGCAATAAGTTTTGGTATTCCACAAATATAAATGTATTACGAATTGGATGTTCCGGAATTTGTTTCTGGAAAAACCTTAAATGAAGATAAATGTAAGAATAAAATAAAGTTTAATATAATTATGGGGATGCATGAAGAAATTATGGGATATTATGGGATATCAAGAACAACAATAAGTTTTGGTATTCCACAAATATAAATGTATTACGAATTGGATGTTCCGGAATTTGTTTCTGGAAAAACCTTAAATGAAGATAAATGTAAGAATAAAATAAAGTTTAATATAATTATGGGGATGCATGAAGAAATTATGGGATATTATGGGATATCAAGAACAGCAATAAGTTTTGGTATTCCACAAATATTTTGTATCGGGCCAGCATATCAATTGGGCCGATGCTGATAGATGAAATTGCGGGACGTTTATCATTCTAAAACTTGAATTTCCACGCACACCGTGTTCCCGCTACTTCACCAAACACGCCATAGTGAGCGAGAGTGAGTGAGTGAAACTGAAAATTCAAACATAACAATGGAACCTCCAAAGAACAACACTCAAACTGAAGAAGAAGACTACACCGTAGCGCTCAAGAAGAAGAGGGCACGCCGCGTCAGCTTCGCGGACAACGAAATCACCTCCGTCCACGTCTTCCGCCGCGACGACGACGCCTCTTCCGATCCCTCCGATGCTCCTTCCGATCCCTCTGTCCTAGGCTTTTTCCGTGACCTCGCCTCCGAAAGTGACGATGACAGACAACCACAACTCGACGACGAAGCCGGAGACTCCTTCCTGCGCCCAATAGATTTCCCCTCCCCCGGCGGCAGCAGCACTGCCAACGACGGCAAGCCCTAACTCTTCACTTTTCTTCGTTGAGTTTTGCTCCCTCTCCATATTTTATAAATTTTTTGCTATTGATGCTCACAGATGACGATGATTTTCACGGGCCGGTGTCAGCGTCTTTCATCAGACCGGAGCGGTTATCCGACTCTGGCGGTGCCTCTGACGATGTCACGATGGACTCCACCGTGTTCTCGATGCATTACCGTAGTATCGCGCGGTCGGATTCTGGTGACATTAATACTCGCCAGCTTGGCCTCACGTCGTCGAGCTCTCACGGAAGTTTCATGGAGGTCACGGAGGCGAAGAGGCCGTTCGAAGTGGTGCTCGATGCGGAGAGTGCCAGCGGAGACTCGAACGACATGAGCATCGAGGGAGAGCACCAACGGAGCTATCAATTCGACAGAGTCTCTCGTGCGTTTGATGCACTTTTGGCAGAAGTAGCAGTAAAGGACTCGCCGCAGCACAATTTGGAAGGTTCGGCTTCCTCTCCAGTTACTCAGCTTCACCAAATACAACCTTCAGTTTCTTCAATCAAGGTGACAAATAACTGTGTTTTCTTGAGTAACTACTTCTAGTTAAGGAGCCTTCTTTTCAATTTTCATTTGTTTGTTATTTATTTGTCCTTTTCTACGAGTAGGTGGTGTCTTGTGTACTTGTTGTATTCATTTGGTTCTTTTTTTGTCACCGTCATATTGGTGTGAAGTATTACTAGTTCATTGATAACCAGTCTCTGCCAGAAAACCTCACAGAGCCCCTTCAGTAGAGTCTTCCCTTTTTTATACATTTGATTTGATTGATGGTATTAAGTTGTAAGTGTGTATGGTTTATTTATGACTACACTTTTGTTGGTATCCTTACATCTGCTATTCAACTGTTATGTTACGAGCATGTTTAAGTCGTGTTTTTTATTTTCCTTGCAGGAAATTAAGGAGTTTAGTAAAGAGACAAGTGCGGCAGTTTTAAGTGAACTGGACTCTGAGAATCCGAACAGGGGAACACCACTAGAGGTAAATGAATACAGAAGACAGGTGTTGGACTCAGATCATAAGTCCAGAAGAAAACAATTATCTATGAGTTCTCCTGATTCATTCAGGCGTACTAGAAATATAACACCACCCATTGAGCAATCTGGTTTGTTAGGTCCAGAGGTCAGAATCGCACGTGGTACATCGCCATCTTCTGGACATAGAAGCATTTTGAAGATGAAAACTCTTGAGGCTACTCCTACCATGTTGGACCTAAAAGAAGGAATGAATAGATTGAAAGCTAGGTTATCAAAATACTCTCCTGGTTTTTCTCTTTCAGATAAGAAAGATCCAAAATACAAGCAAGATGAAAGTTGCCAAACTCCTTCTCTACAAGAAAAACTGTTTAAGTTAACTCCAGAGAGTAACATTCGTAAAGGTTTGGTTGACAGCAATGACCATGGAATTTACTCTTCTAAAAATAATTGCAAGTCAGGTCAACATGAAGAGATTTTGGACACCAAAGTTCACGAGAAAAACTTGATTTTGATTTCAGATCATGTTTCTTACAATGATCGAAATCCTAAGCCTGTGGAAATGGAAACTTCTTCCTTACAGATGACTCATGTAACGAAAGTGGTAAATATGGCCCTGGCAGATACCACGGCTGAGAGAGGGAAAGATGAAATACCAGTTCCAAGCCCTTCTATCCCAGGAGTAACAACTTGGTTGCACTCCTTGCAAGACCCTTCCAAGGGTAACTTAGATGATCATGGTCATGATAACAGCTACCATTCAGTACTACAAGTAGCTCAGAGCGCTCTTACCCTATCAGGTGTTGAGATTTCTTCAGGCAAGAAAAGAAAAGGTGTTGAGATGCTAAGCAATGGTGACAACATAGATAAAATAGATAGAATTCACGGAAGTCCAGAGGTTCATGAAAATGGTAATGGTGACCTGCAGTTAGTTTTAGAGCAAACAGATTCTATGAGAAGTGAAAGAGAGAAGCTTGGAGATCAGACTTGGAATGATGATGATCTTGTATGGCTACTGTTTTATGATGTCTTATATATAATTTCAGTTGTTTAGATGAGTCTCTGAACTCTTCAATTATCTTGCAGATTCTTAAGAAATTCTTAGCTGGAACAAATCAGTTGCTACCTCCCTTAGTTGATAAACTAAATTTGAGATTGGTATGTTCTAACATATGGGCGTGACTTAGAAAATGATATTGTTGAAAAAATATTGTGGACATAGTCACTCACTTATTGTTCAAGTAAATTTGTCATGGCTATTTATATAAATAATTCTTCCCCCTCAATTTCTAGATTGGCAGGTTGGAAGATATTTTGATTCATCAACAGAAAGTTAAGAAGTTTGAGATTCTTTGTTCTGAAATTCAATCTCAGGTCTGTTAGATTATATAATCAAATTTAATACACCTTTCCAGTATATTATATCGTTACCATGCTTACATCTTATAGTAATTAGAACATATTATTTCCACTAAAGACACTGGCATCCATTTATGAAAATGATTCTTTTCTCTTGTTTTCAGCACACGACAATTAATCCTCCAGACATTCTTAGAGACAAGAGGTATTTTTAGTCTGTTTGACTGAGTAATGCTATAGAATGTACTTTATGTTGTTTGATAGGTGTATATGGTACGGAACTGTTTTGGATATGGTTGGTGAAGTGAACTTGAAGTAATCCTTTGCAGAATTGTGGAAACGAGAATATTGCTGTATAATATAGCATATGAGAAGGCAAAATTACAATTATTGCATGTGAAGCGTGACAAGTTACTGGTATTCTATCTTACATGTTACATGTTGTATTTACTACGTAGAAATCTCTGCTGTTGATTATATGAACTTCTTTGTACACAGAAAAAGGTACAACAGATAAGCTCTGGGCTTCAAGAGTGTGAGTTGATAAAATTAAATTTCATCATCCCGTCTTCATCTAAAAGTTGGCCAATGGACACTCAAGCTGATGATAGTCATATTCGTACAAAATTGTTTAATTCCCAGGGAAAATGTCAGGTACTAATTATGTGTGTATGAAGTATTTAATTAAATTGATCTGGAGGTGGGGACAATGGACTATAGATTCGACATGGTTATTGGGAAATACAAATTGCATTGTTGGGTGGTCTGTCCTGGGAATACATTAAACGAGGTTGCCCCTTTTCAGGCTCCAGGTATCATTAACACAAGAGTGAGAGATATGACAAAAATTGTGCCTGAAGTACATTGTAGTTGTGGAGCTGAATTATATAGACCAAAAATGATAGATACCCATATTTCAGTTATCCTAATTACCCATATTTCAGTTACATTATATCTTGAAGGCTATGAAGCACTGACTCCGACACAGACACTGAGACACGACACGGACACGCGGACACGACAAACTTCTAAAATATAGGACACCGGGACACCTTATATATATTAGACATGAATAAAAATTTAAATATGATTCAAATGAGAAATATATAAATTAAAAATTAAGATTTGTTCATTCATCTTCTCAAGACAAAGTTGTTAGATTTTACAATTTTCATATGATATCCTAACCAAAAAATACTAAGAACTACTATTTCACAATATAAAAACTTTGTCTTTTTACAAAAAGAAAGTCTCAAAATAAGATGAATCAAATCTATTAAAGACAGTGGTCTTCATGATCATCATCATTGAAAAATACACTTTCTAACTCTGGTTCATCAAGTGATAAATTTGCAACTTCAAGCATTCCACTCTCATCTAGTGATCCAAATGCATCTCCTGCTATGTCCCACATTTTTGTTTCCTCTTGGTTATATTGTGGAGAATTCCTTGAAAGAAGACGGAGGTTGCTATGAACAAATACTAGATCTTCTGCCCTATATGGTGCCATCTTGTTTCTTTTCATAGAATGAATAAAAGAGTAAGTGCTCCAATTTCTTTCACAACATGAAGAAGAACATGGTTGCCCAAGTAGTTTAAGAGCAATTTTTTGAAGTATTGGAGCATGAGCACCATAAACAAGCCACCAAGATTTTGCATCCATCTTACCCCTATCACTTAATGAATCAATGTCATCAAAACCTTCTCTTCCATCTGAAAAATTTGCAAACTCTACATTTACTTGTCTCCTCATATCCACATCAACAAAATATCGTTTAAAACATTTCACCCTCTGGAAAAATAGATTAACTGAAATATGATTTTTTATTATATCAATACAAAAAGATGATATAAGATATATACAGGAGACCTAAGCTATTTTAGGAAATATAATAACTCTATTTTATGCTAGGATCCCTTGATTTGTGGGATTGTTTCTAATTATTCAAATCTGTACAGATTACAAGGAAATATACAAATTTCCTGATTTATTCTTTCCTAAAATACTATTTGATTTCCCACACTCCCCCTCAAGCTGGTGAATAGATGTTTTCCATTCCCAGCTTGGATACAATCTTCTCAAAACTATGGCAGCCCAGTCCCTTGGTAAGAATGTCTGCAATTTGGTCTTGAGAGGACACATATGGAGTGCATATCAAGCCACTATCAAGCTTTTCTTTGATGAAGTGTCTGTCTACTTCAATATGCTTTGTTCTATCATGCTGCACTGGGTTGTGGGCTATACTGATTGCTGACTTATTATCACAATAGAGCTTCATAGGTTCTTCCCAATTTATCCTCAAGTCTTCTAAGATGATTTTAAGCCATAGCAACTCACATAACATATACTTGTCCTCCTTTCCTTGAGGAGCCTCCTTTGTGTCCCCCTTCTCAATCTCGGTTTAAAGGCTTCCCATGTAACTTCCAACACTTCTCTCGGTATGACGAGGTTTATTGCAAGTAGGTACACCAGAGACCATCACCTTTATTCTCCACATTTGCTGATCCTTTCTTCCGTTAGGTTACCATGGCCAAAGTCTCGATCTCCTTTATGGTCCAAGGTCTGAGTTCTCTCATCGCTGGACTCTCTAACATGAGACCCCTTCTACTTTCTTCACTTCTCCCAATAGCCACCACTTCATTGAGGCATGGTACCTTTTTCTTCCCCAATATTTGAATCCTAACTTGATCAAATTCAGGATTCAAACCAACAAGGAAATCATAAACTTTGCCTTGTTCGATATACTCCTTGAGAAGTGCTCGAATCTTCAAGTACATTTGGCTTTTATGACTCTATAATGGTCTAGCTCCATCCACAATGATTTCAGCTGATTGGCATATTCTCGTAATGCTCTTGTTCCCTTGTTTTGTTGCCAAAGTTTTCACCTTTACTTCATATACTTGAGCAAGCATCTTTGGCTTTAGAGTAGATTTGCTCTACAGACATCCCAAATATCTTTTGCCGAATTAAGGAACATGCAGATGTCGCTGATTTCTGGAATCATTGAATTCCACAGCCACGCCATGATCATTGAATCTTCTTCATCCCATGTAGTAAACTTGGGATCCTCCCGCTTAGGTCCGGACTCCATCAGGTGACTCAACTTCCCCTTTCCCTTCAACACCGTACGAACAAGTTGGGCCCACTTCAAATAATTTCTTCCATTTAGTCTATATGCAGAATGAATATTCTGCAGTACTCCAGATTGCTGGGATTGGGTATTCCCTGTTTCTGGGTTTGGATTCACAACTTCCTCTTCCCTTGACATCATAGCAAGGAGGTGTGATGCAACAACAATGCAGGCTGTCGTCTTAGGATTAAGAAAAAATGCAGCAGTAATGTAGGCTGTCGTCTTAGGGTTAAGAAAAATGCAGCAGCAATGCAGGCTGCCATCTTAGGGTTAAGAAAAATGCAGCAGCAATGCAGGTTGTCGTCTTAGGATTAAGAAAAATGCAGCAGCAATGTAGGCTGCCGTCTTAGGGTTAAGAAAAATGCAGCAGCAATGCAGGCTGCCGTCTTAGGGTTAAGAAAAATGTAGCAGCAATGCAGGCTGCCGTCTTAGGGTTAAGAAATATGCAGCAGCAATGCAGGCTGCCGTCTTAGGGTTAAGAAATATGCAGCAACAATGCAGGCTGCCGTCTTAGGGTTAAGAAATATGCAGCAGCAATGTAGGTTGTCGTCTTAGGGTTTATCGCAGCAGACATAGCTTCCTAGATCGGAAGCTCGATACCATCCGGAAAAATAGATTAACTGAAATATGATTTTTTATTATATCAATACAAAAAGATGATATAAGATATATACAAGAGACCTAAGCTATTTTAGGAAATATAATAACTCTATTTTATGCTAGGATCCCTTGATTTATGAGATTGTTTCTAATTATTCAAATCTGTACAGATTACAAGGAAATATACAAATTTCTTGATTTATTCTTTCCTAAAATACTATTTGATTTCCCACACACCCTTTCACGAGTAAGTTCCATATCTTGATGTGGAGGAACTCTATTAGAATCTTCACTTAGTCATTCATGACTATAATATCTACAATATAAATAAAAATCATGATTACAATAACATATAAAAATGTAACTAAAATTTTATTTGGGAATATAAAATATTACCTTGGATTTAAAGAATGTGCTAAACAATGGAGAGGTGTGCTACTCTTTGTCCAACGTTCAATTAATATGGAGTGCACAACATTATAAAAGCTTGATTCTTCACTTTCCGCCTTTCTTTCATATCGATAAATGGCTTTTCTCACATTTTCAATCATTGAGTCCCACATTTCATATACTAAATGGAGAGATGAAGCTTCCAGTATCCGTTTTTCTTAGAACATCATAAATGGGACTAGTGAAAGAAAGTATATAATCAACCTTATCCCACCAAACATCATCCAATAATGTATCTTTCACAAATTTAGCTTTTCCAACATCATCTTCCTTGTAAGAAGACCATTCATCACTAATAACCATCTCTTGGAGTCCTTTTTTCAATTGCTTAAATCTCTTAAGCATGACTATAGTAGAAGCAAATCTTGTTGGAGCAACTGAAAGCAACTTTAATGAGTTGAATGAGTTGAAAATAGATAACCTCATTGAGTGACCCATGATGAAATTTTTTATGAACATAGCATCTTCTCCTATATTTGTGATCCAAGAACATTCTTGATAAGCAATATTGTTTTTTTCTCGTGTTCTTTGCTGCACATATATTTTTCAAAACAAGATTTAGAGTGTGCACAACGCAAGGGGTCCAATAAATACAAGGAAAATCAGCTTCAATCATTAAACCTGCGGCCTTACATACAGGTGCATTATCAGTCACAATTTGCACCACATTTGAAGGTCCAACTTCCATAATTACATCTCTCATTTGTTTGGCTATAAAATCTTTGTCTTTAATCTCATCAGAGCATTCTATAGCCTTCAAAAACATAGGTCCACTCTCTATAACAACCATGAAATTAATGAGAGGTCTTCTTTGGGGATCACTCCACCCATCACTAACAATGCTAACACCTTTTTGACTCCATGTATTTTTTATTGGCTCCAAAAGCTTCTCTACATGTCTTCTTTCATTAGCAAGCAAACTTTTTCTCAACTTATTATAACCTGGTGGTTGATATCCACTTACATAATTATTGGCAGCAAAAGAAAAAGCTCTCCTATAATAAGGATTTCTTGCTAAATGAAATGGCAATCCCGATGAGTAAAACATCCTAGCAATTTCATAGTCTAATGTCTCTCTAGCTTGCATATTGAAAGCTTTATCTAGTGATCTGGATGTTTTCCTTTTTTTTAGATCAACACCATCTATAGATGATTCATTAGAAACCGGAGGCAAAGGGACAAATTTTGTCTTAGACCTTTCTATCTTCAATGTAGCTTCATTGTCTAGCTTTGTTAGTTCACCAAGCTTCAAGGGTGTTATTTTTTGACAACCTCTAACTCCCTTTCCTGTAATCTTCAACAAATGTGCTCTCACTCTAGTATAAGATCCATTGAAAGTAAGATTACAAATATTGCATTTTACTTCATAATTTCCACCACCTCCACCAACACTTTTTATCTTTGTAACATAATTCCATAGGGGTTTGATATCATCATCTTGTAAAGGCTGACTAGAATTACTCATTTCTACAGAAATGAAACCAATAACATGATTTTTCTATGTTCATAATTCCGTAACTATCGCATTCTAATAAAAAAAAATAAAACATTATAAAGGAAAACAAAGCAAAACAAAGACCTAAACAATGGACAGCAAAAGAGAGCATGATGTATTGGAATACCTGAACAACAATGAACTCT